TATGAAAAAATGCTCCACATCACTATTCATCCATGAAATGCAAATTAAAACAACACTGAGATATCATCTCACCCCAGAAAGAATGACTATCATAAACAAATCAATCAACAATAAATGTTGGAGAGGCTGTGGGGAAAAGGGAACCCTTCTCCACTGCTGGTGGAAATGTAGACTGGTACAACCATTATGGAAATCAGTGTGGAGACTCCTTAAGAAACTAGGACTGGAAATCCCCTTCAAGTCAGCTATCTCCCTACTGGGAATTTTCCTGGAGGAACATCATATCATAGTGATATATGTGTACCTATGTTTATAGCAGCACAATTGTGACTGCCAAATCTTGGAGACAACCAAGATGCCCGTCACATGAGGAATCATTGAAAAAGATGTGGTATATTTATATAATGGAATATTACTCAGCTATAAAGAATGATAAACTCGAAGCCTTTATATTGAAGTGGATGCCACTTGAAGATATACTCATAAGTGAAATAAACCAGACCCACATCTATAAATATTGTATAGTTTCCCTAGTATAAGAACTCAAAAGAGGAAATACAAATTGAAAGGTATAACACAATTAAAAGGAAAGTGAGAACTTGAGGACTGGACAACAGGAGAGGGCAAGGAGAAAAGCTGGGAAACAGGACGGGGAAAGCCATACATTTATATGCACAAGATGTGCAAGGCAATGATCCTGAAAAATATCAGTAGGTTTTTGAAACTAGTAGTTAATTGGTAGGATTCCCACCCTGACTGACTATACATGCTGATACCTGTGAACCAAGCAACTGCACTGCAGATAGCAATGTGTAATAGAGTCACACTTGGAATGCCTTTCATTCTAGTCTTCTAAATACATACTTCTTGTCATGACATACCAATTATTACCATACTGTCTCACAAGTAAAAGATTTTTGTTTTTTGCTTTTCTTTTTTTAAATGGGTAATAAATGAAAAAAAAAGACACAAGAAAAAGAAAATGTTACAGGACTGTCCTGCTACAATGCTCTATATGGTTAGATTTCTAAATTTCTGTGTAAAAATATGTGTTTATTCATATTTTAAAATTTTTTTCTTCATATTCTGTAAGGACTTAAATTTCAACACATCAATACTTGATGTAAGATACCTGTTTCACATTATGCCTAAGATGTTCAATATTTAGAAAGATAGTTAGGGTAAACCGAACTGCATATGTTGCAGGGTAATAATAAGCTTCTCTTCTGGAGGGTTAACAACCTAAATTTGCAGATCAAAAATTGGAGAAAAGGAAGGGCTACAAGGTCCACCAACCTTTTGGCCCTAGCCTTTCAAGGTTAGTGAAGACTGAGGACATACGAGAACCTGTACTGTAACATCATGTAACTCAGTTGTGCCCCAAATTTTCTGATCAAAGAGATTATGGAGCCACAGAGGAATGTGACTGATGATGTGTAGTGTGCCCAAGGAGAGTCACAGGGAGAGAAAACTTTCTCTCAGCCTTTCACGGAGAGCAAATTGGTCAAGCTTTGACCGTGACTCATTCACATGGCTGACACTGACAAAGGATCTACAAAGTGCAGTACAGGGTTATATGATAAATTCTGAGGGGACTTGACTGACCTTATCAGATACAAAAGCTACATTTCTTATTATATAGGTCTTGCTTTATCTTGGTCTGAACCATCCAGCAGAAAAGTATAAAAACGAGGTATATAAAGTAAAGCCATGTTAATATGCTGAGCTGTGAAAGGCTCAAGTCAACAACTTCTGTGGATAACCCAAAACTAGTGTGGACTGCTGGACTGTGTTGGATTGTTTTGCTGAATTCACACACCTATAGTATTTAGATGCCAATGGAATACTCATCTATGACAGGACTAAACAAAAAGAGGGGATACAAAGGAAGGATCATTTTGGATCTGTATATGCAGAATAGTTAGGATAGATAAACAGCTACTTTCACTTAATTCAATGAGAAGAAAGATTTGTACTAATAGTGTTTGGACAGGATATCCTGTCTGCTTCTTGTACTGTGGATAATCACTAAGAAGATAACAATATACAATGTATTAATTATTGAAACTATCCTATTAATCAGTTTTGACATTGTCTCATTGCTATTTTTTTCTCAATAAAAAATATTTTAAAAAAGATTTGGAAGGAGAACTGGCTGAAGAATTTCCATGGCTCTCAATTGTGTTCCTCCCACCTAACACAACTCCTCTCCTGCAGCTGACAGTGTGGCAGGCAGGCTGTATTCAACTTTAAGGAGCTATACACCAAGGAACTGTTCCTGAAGTGTTTGCAAATGGTCTCAGAAACAGAATTAACTCTCAAAGAGCTATGGAAAGAACATTCTTTCCTGTGTGAGGTTAATTGAGAAATCCTGGGCCAATGTCTCTCTAAGGCCACTGAGTTCTGCCTGGAAGAAAGTATGGTCTAACATCACACAGGAGAGAGATCTTGAAGGCTGTGTAGAACCGTCAATTGAGCCCATGGTTTATGATACTGTCACTATAGCAGAGTTCATCGGCTTGCAGGTAGAGTGGTGATGTTGAGGAACTGGTGGAGGGTCACTCAGAGGAGCTGTCTACAGTGGGACTGAAGCAACTACTGGCTGAACATCAGAGAAAGACAGCTGAGGAGCTTTCTAAAGGGTGGGGGTGAGACAGCTCACTGGACTAAGGCATCTGCTTAGGCAAGCACAGGGACCATGGTTCAATCCTCAGCCCCCAGGATGGGCTGAGCCAGTCACGAAAAAAGAAAAAAAAAAAAAAAAAGGGAGGGGTGGATATCAACAATCAGCAAAGTTCTTCTGAAGTAAAGGAAATCCTGACAAAACAGACAGAGCTACCCACCCCGAAAAGACACACATAGACAGAAAATACCTGGCACTTGCTTAATAACAATGTGATGTTATACAGTACAGTGTTACAGAAAAGAAACAGATAACCTTAGATCAGTGTCTGGTTCAGAAAACATTGTGACCTAACAAGTCAAAGCAGGTCATAGAGGGCTGTAGACCCTAAGAGAAAAAGGACACCAGAGAGCGAGATCTCTGAGGCACCTATGGAAGGGCCTCTCCTTTCACACAGCAACCACCTTCCACTTCATCCTTCCTTTCTGTAAGCCAAAGATGTCAGCTTCAATAGTGAGTACTGTATGAAATTGTTGTTTCTGGTAAACTAGGAACACTTCATAACTGTTTGGTGAATACACTAGGAAAATTATTGGTGTTTCTGGTAAATTACATCCATTATACAACTCTTCTTATTATGCAATGGTTAGTTAAACGTGCTTTTGGGGGATTCAGAATACATTTTGGTTATTTCCATTATTTCTTATGGGAAAAATAGTCTTGACTTACAACCAATTTGAGTTACAACCAGCTCTCAAGAATGAACTGAAATCACAAATCTAGAGTCCAGAGTACAGTTATCAAAGTTCATTATCAAAATGATAACACATGCTAAATGGTGTTTTTTTAAGGATCTGCCTTGGATTAAATTAAAAAACACTGTTGACTATTGGTCCTGAAGCTGGGTCACAGAATGCCTGTATTTATGGCTTACATGAAGAAACATTTTCCTTGTACTGAATTATAATTCATTTTGTTTTTAAAAACTGAAGAAATGAGTTGACAAACAACAAAGTATTCATTCAGATTGGCAAGGGTATGAGTTTACTTGAGAACCATGGCAAGGGATTAGGAGGAAGCGGGTGTTGGGCATTGTACATCATAGCTTTCCAACAGCCAAGCACACTTCTGACATTTTCAAGGAGAAGTATATCTTGGGGGAGTGGGAATGGGTGAGAAAATTTTCCATCACATTTTAAAGTGCCAGCATGTGAGACACTCAGAGTTTTTAAAGAGACAATAAAAAAGTTATTAATACCTTGAAAAGATTAGGAAAATTACTTCTTATAAGTAAATGAATGATACAGCAATAAAGTTAAAGATGGGGGGTGACCTAAGCAACCTAGAATGATGACCAACACTGATTTCTCAGGGAAACACATCAAAGTTACATGATGATGGTTTAGATGACTCTCTAGCTGGTGTCGCTGTTGGTTGTGTGCGTCACCCAGCTGCAACTCACAGACAAATGGCCCGAAATGATCACACGCAGGAAGGCCAGGAGACGGAGACATGAACAAGCTAAGTTCTCATGGCCCTTCCTCTGAGATTTTTAGGTGATTTGACACTCCTGATGTCATAAAACGCTTTGGGATGCCACTCAAGGTAACTCATAAATTAGAACAATGTGCAGTATTAGCTCACCCACAATCATTCCAGCCCAAATAACTACAATTTCTCAGGACTAATTCAACTACACAGACTTAAAAAATAATGACCTTTTGGAACTACTCTAACAGTAACATGTTCAGGGAACATCAATACATAAAATTTCTTTGAGCAACTTGCCTTCTGAGATATAAGTTTTCCCACCACATCTCTGGCATGGACATCGATGGTACAAATGGTCATGATCTTCTGCCTGTCACCAGGTGGAAGCTCTCCCAGCAACAGCGTAATCAGTGTATTCAGCTGAGAAATCTAGGAGGAATTTTTTTCAAAAAGAGGGAAGAATTACAAATGCAGGAACATCTCACAGTCTTCCTATTTGTGAAGAATGCTTTAGTTTACAAAACAATTTCAAATTTTTTATCCCAGCTGGTCTTCCAAGATCCTAGGGGGAGACCAACATTATCCCTGCATGTAGAAGAAGGAAACTGCACAGAAGAGAATGGCCCCGTGAGGAGTAGCAAAGCCAGGGACAAGCAGGGTTTCCTGGTCTCCCCTAGCAGGCACTCCTGCCTGGTGACGATCCAGTCCAAGGCTTCACTGGGACAGGAGTAACGACAGTCTCTAAACAGTAAAATTAGACTAACTTCTAAAAAGGTATAGTGAGAGCTATATAATTTGTTTTCTTCTTTACAAAGACCTTTCTAAACAATTAGCGTTTGTTTTGTATTTTTTAAAATACAAGAGTGATGATTACTGAGAAACTAGATTGTCCCATTCCAAAATACCCAATTACAGATTGTAAGAGTATGCATTCTTTTGTGAAACTATTTTTGATTTGATCATGTACTTACACATATGAACTTGCTTTGATAAAAATATTTCTTTTGCTAAATTATGGTCAGAATGTTTTAAATATACTCTCTTAGGTGGCTGTTTTGTCTACCTTACTTAAGGCTTATATGCAAGAAAACAGACAGAGAAATAAAAACCCAAAAATGCCTTGGCTTAGTCTCTAGGTGCCCTACTGTGAAACACAACTATCCTCTTTCCTCTTTAGCTCTGTGAAGAACAGTGAATGGCAAAAATGTTATCTGAGAGACATGGTGGCAAGTGAAGGCAGTAGATCACCAGGAGATTTCAAACCTACACACCTCACTGACAAAATGAAGTTTTCTTCTGTACTAGTAACAAGTCCAGAAATATATATATATATATATATATATATATATATAAATGCTTATGCAACTAGGCTGACAAGAACATCACTTTACAGCTACTTTTTTGTTTGATTTGGTAAGAATACTTGAGTTCTGCTCTTAGCAAATTCTAAATATATAATGCATTAACTATAGCTGCCCATGTTGAATGTCTTAAAAATGTATTCATTTTATAACTCAAAGCTTGTATGCTCCTCTTTTCCTCTACTTTCTATCCTCATTCTATTCTGTTCATATGTTTGATATTTTAAGATTCCACATACAAGTGAAATTATATAGAAATTTTATGTGTCTGACTAGTTTCCCTGAGCATAATATCTATCATGGTCAACCATGTTGTTCCAAATATCAGGATTTGTTTTTTCAGTAAGGCTGAATAGAATGCCATTCATGTGTGTGTGCGCGCACAACTTTCTCTTTTTTCTATCAAGAGACATTGAGAATGCTTCCATGTCTTTACTATTATAAGTAATGCCACAATGAACTTGGAGTACTGATAGCACCCTGAGATAAATTTATTTCTTCTGGATATACACCCAGAATGGGATTTCTTGATCATACAGAGGTTCTATTTTTAGTTTTTTGAGGAATCTCTGTATTGTTTTCCATGAAGACTATGTTAATTTACACATTCCCACCAAACAAGTAAAGGGTCTCTACACTGAAAACTATTAAATATTGTTGAAAGAAACTGAAAATAAAATGAATGGAAACATATTCCATATCCACGGCTGGAAGAATTTGTAATCCATATTATCCAAAGTTATCTATAGATTCAATGCAACCTATATCAAAATTCCTATGGCATTTTTCACAGACAAAAGAAAAGCAATTTTAAAATTTATATGGAACCACAAAAGCCCTCAAGTAGCTAAAGCCATCTTAAGCAAAAAAAGAAGCTAGAGACATTACAATTTTTGATTTCAGATTATATTACAAGCAAGAGAAATCAAACACTATTGGATGGGCATAAGACCAGATAAACAGGCCAACGGAAGAGAATAAAGAGCGGAGAGATAAGTTTTTCAACTAATTTTAAACACAGGCACAGAAAATATACAATTGGAAAAGGACAGTTTCTTCAATAAGTGGTGCAGAGAAAACTGGATTTCCATATACAGAAAGATTAAATCAGATCCTCAAATAATACACAAAAATCAACACAATATGGATCAAAAATATACAAACAAAATCTAAGACTGTAAAAAATCTAAAACCCCTAGAAGGAAACATGAGAAAATTCCCTCAAGACTGATTATAACTGTGATTTCAGGATATGACATCAAAACACAGAAAATAAAAACAAAATAAATAAACCAAACCTTGGTAGAACCATATCAGACTAAAAAGTTTCTGCATAAAAAAGAATAAAAAAATAGAAACAAGGCACGCTGGGGATTCTGAGACAGGAGGATCACTATAAGCCTGAGTTCTGTAGGGAGAATATATGGAATGGGAGAAAGTGTTTATAAACTACATATATGATAAGGGGTTAATACCCTGATATAGGAACTCATACATTTTAATAGAGAAAAACAAAAGACTTAAACATAAGCAAAAGACTCGAATGGATATTTTCTAAAGATGACATGTGAATTGGCCAAGTGGTCTGTGAAATGATATTTAATATCAATAATTAGAGAAATGAGAATGAATCCCACAGTGAGATAGCACCTCACATCCACTAGGATGCGTTTTTATAGGGCCAGAAGACAGATGTTGGTAAGGATGCTTATTAATCAGCATTTTATGCTACATAAATAATTTAGTTAAAATTTAACAAAAGCAAAGCCTTCACTGCTGTGGCACATTCACTGTGTGTGTACACATCATGCTAGGGATCCTAAGCCCCATGAAGGTAAGGGCACTGTCTTGTGCCACTGAAAACCATCAGTGTATTTATCAAGTAGATAAACGACCACACACAAGGAAGCTTCTAAATAAAATCAATACATGCCAGTTAGACTAAAGTCAAAATGCATCAAAGATCTAAATATTAAAACAGAAACACTGAATCTACTGGAAGAGAAAGTAGGTAGAAGACATTAAGTGTAGGCAGAGAGTTCACGAACAAAAACCAAACTGCACAGAAAGTTCTTCACACAGCAAAAGCAGGAAGAGCAAAACTGAGGGAAGAGCCAGCCTCCTTCCCTCCCTTACAGTAGGGCAGGCTACCGCCCCCTAGCGCAGGTGCGGTACTCACACCATCTCCATTGCAGTCTATGGATGTGAACCCTGGCCCCCGGTGAGTCACCAAATTAAACTTCTAAACTTTTCAAGTTGATACAATGTATCACCTATTATATACCATTACCAATAGTTGGCAAACATAGCAACAATATGTTACGCCGTGTAAGAACATTTATAATTTCAAGTGCTTTCACATGCATTGTCTTGCTCTGCTGGAGCCTCCCAACAACCTGTGATTTCTACATTATTGATTCATTTTCACAGTGAAATGAAAGATGATTAAAACTACACCCTTTCAACATTATGTGTATGGCAACACAGGTTGAGAATCTTATACTGCCTCTCAAGATGTCCTTGTTGATATTTTCAGAAATAAAATTCTGTAACTGTAAAAATAAAAACTGATTATAAAGTTTCTATTATTTGGCAAGTGTCATCAGGTAACAGTTACCATAGAGACGTACTATAATTGCATACAGGTTTATGGTCCATGACATACAAAACATTTCTTGGTAACTCTTTGAATCAATCTATCAGCCAATCAAGCATACATATTCATATACCCCCTATCATGCCATCAATATTTATTCCTGCAATGGGTTTCTGCTCATGTTGACATTATGGTAGGTGATCCAGCATGGCACTGGGTCTCAAAACAACAATGTGTCACTCCCGGATTAACTTCTGTGTTCTTCCTCTAGTCCCAAAATAGACTTTTTGTCTTCTCTTCCCACAAGCACCAAGTCTTTTGCAATCAGCGTTTGTTAGGACACCCTGACTGCCCATGTAAACTCTGCCCCCAGCCTGACCTAAAAAATCATCTCCCCAAATTCCTTTGTCTCTATTCTGGAGGGTTCTTCATATTGTTCTGCAGCCCTCTCACATCAGCAATAAAGGCTTCTTTATCTCTCTCCTGCCTCTTATTTGTGCCAAAGAAAAAACCTTACACTTGTTGTAGTAAGTGTAACCTATCACTGATCGTAGTAGTATTGCCCGATTTCCTACTCCATCAAGGATCCATGCCTCAAGTTGACTATCTGCAACCCTCTGAAATACACATGGCTGTTTTCAGGGTATATCCTAGCTTTAGCAAGAGTGTAAGTTCAGAAAATAGGAATCAGAAAGAACCCTGGATGTCAGTAAAGACCCACACTGTCTGTGGAGCACAAAGCCTCACGTGACTTCCCAAAGCTCCTTCCCCATCTCCCTTCCCTCCAACCTTCTCTTCCTCCCATCACGGCTGCCTCAAAGCCACAGCCACAGCTGCATCACATAGAGGCCATGATCCCTGCAACCTCCATACAGTGAGCTTCTGTTTATCATGAAGAGTAGCGTCTGCTCATTGTTACCTCCTTGATTTGCCTTCCCTGACCTACTACCTCTCAGCCAACTATTCTATGTAATCCCATTTTATTCTCTTTATGGAACTTTTGAATATCTAATTGTTAATTCATTTATTTCCCTGTTGACTGTTTTTCTCTCATGCTTTATTTACAAACTCTAAAGGATCAAGCCCCACACTTGACTTACTCTGCACTAACTTTTCCTACCCAGCGCAGTGGTCAGCATAAAGCTAAGTAACATTGATCATATGTAGGAAGAAATGACCGAATGAATGATAGCAGTATCACATCTTGTCTTTGTCCACTCATTCGTCCAACATATGTGTTACTATTTCTAGAGCTCACAGGCCAATGACAAAAAGTAGGGAAATAATTAGGATTGTATGGCTAAGGCAAATATAAAATAGTTTTACAGCATGCAGAAATAGAATCTCCTCTAATCTAGTGCTCAGAAAGGCATTTCACAGGAAAGGTTATTTGTGCTAAGACCAAAGAATGAGTAGGATTGAGATTGTGAACTCGAGGGTGGCCACCCAAGAAGACAGTGCTTATGCACAGG